CGAGGCAGCCTGGGGTTTGGGGGGGCGGGGGACAGACTTGGCTCAGAAGCAGCCGATGTTGGTGAGCAACGGCCGGCAAAGCAGAACTGCACCCAGGGCTCGTGCAACAGCGCTAACAGGGTGAAAGGGGCTTGTTCCAGAATGTTCCAGAGGAGGCAGCGGATCTGCTGGCGCCTGGGTCTGTTTCCCGGTCACGGGGCGCCGTGGCTTCCACCCCGGGAGCCCATTGGGATGCCCCCTCACCTCCCTGGAGCCCCAACTCGGCAGAGGCCCGAGTCCCACCCTCGAGCTTGTGATTTAACTGGTCTGGGGTGGCCTGGACTTCAAAGATCCCTATTTTCAAAGGTCCCCCGAGATGCTAACAAGCAGACAGATTTGGAAACCACCGGCTCAGTGAAAGGCAGCCGCGGCCTGTCTGCAAGCAGGGAGGCAGCCACCGTCGGACTGGGGGTTCTGCAAAGGCCACAAGGCTCTGGAAGCCCATCAGGCGCCAGCGCTCTTTCACATCTGGAAATGATTGAGTGCAGAAGCCACATGACACCCCCCCCCGGGCTCCCCACATCATCCAGAAACAGGCATGAGAGTGTGGGGAGGGGAACGGGCGGTCGCCCAGCGTCCCGGCAAAGGGGCGCCTCTGCGGTTACCCCTGTCCCTGACTCCCGGGGAGCAGCCACTCTGGCGCGCTGACATACGCGATTAAATCCTATTTCCCTGTTGGACAGCGATGCAGTTTTTGGGAGCGCTTAGTAGCTGATTGGTACTGAGTCACCGGGGTCTGCTCCCGGTGTGCACAGGGCGTTGAGGGGCCGGCCCCTGCGCCCCGCCTGCTCCGCGGTCTGGAGCGGCTCCCCCCCGCCCGGCTGCGTCTCCTGAGGCCGTGGCACCTCCCAGCACCTGGCGCTGTTTCTACACTGGATTTTTGGTTTGTTTGTTCTGTCTTTTGAGTAGCAATCTGATCTTGATGGAGGAACAGGAGGAAGAGGGGGCCCGTGGGGAAAGAGAGCTGGTCTGGAATGGTCCTAACCGAGGGTTTCCTGGCCGCTGAGTGGACGCCCTGAGTGCACTGGCCCTGGGGCCTGTGATGGGTGTCCCCCAGCCCGGATGTGCCCCTCGAGCGAGCCTTCCCAGACAGTCACTAGGAAGACAATTAAGTTCCCATCCACGAGAGGCGCGTATGCTTCTGAAAGGCCTCGACTCCGGGGAAGTGTCCCACATATTGTTTCTGAGTCATAAATCACCCCAATGCTTAGTGGCTCGGAGCACGGCTTTTGGGAGCCCACTGTGGGTTGACCAGGCCCCAGGAAGATCTCGCTGGGGTCTTGCCCACCGCCGACAGGCTGAACGCCCAGGAGGGCGCCCTCGGCGGCCACCTTTGTGGCCCACGGGTGCGGCCCCTCCAGTGAGGACCACGGGGTGCGGCCCCTCCTGGACACGGTGGCTGGGCTGAGGCGGCCACACCCTGTGGGCAGCCGGCCGGGCCATCCGGAGGGAGGGCGGCTGCCACTCCCGGCCCCTGAGCCTGTCATCCCACCTCATGTGCCCAGGCCGCCAGCCCCAGGACGCCGGCTGTGCCACACTGCGCCACCCCGCGAGTCACACTCTGGCAGCCCAGACGCCAGCACGAGGAGCAGCTGAGCCCGGAGCAGAGCGCGGGGCCGGGGGGGGGGGAATGGGGAGGGCGACGGCCATCTTGGAGACTCCCAGTTTCTGGCCTGGGAAGGCGCTCGGAACCCCGAGAACTGAAGGAAAGTGGGCGTCGTGGAAACATGGACCCTTCAGGGAGGCCTCAGGCCCAGCGCCCCTTGGTCTTGGCCTGGCCCTCCTGCCCCCGGGCGCCGCCGACTTCCATCCCCCTCCTAGCCCAGGGGGCTGCCACTTCCCGGCTCCTAGTGTCAGGCGCTGTGCCCGCTGCCTTAGGGGCCTGGGCTTGCTGAGGGCGGCTGAGGCCGGGGTAGTTCCCGCAGCCGGCTCTGGCTGCGCTGGCCAGCCTCCTCCCCGCCGGGCAGAGGCTGCCTCTGCTCCCCCTCAGTTCTGGCCGCTGAGACACTTCGCCTTGGAGTGAGAGACTTGACCCCCTCAGAGGCAAGCCCGTGCCAGATGACCGGTGCCCCCGCACAGCCAGGCCCGAGGCTCCAGCGCTGCAGCAGGGACCCCCCGAGTCTCCACGCCGCCCGCACCCCGCTGTGCTCCGGTCTCCGAGGTTAGGCCGGAGCAGAGAATGGAAAACAGCTGTGTCTCCCCAGGTGGGTGGGTGGTGGCCACGTGGCCGCGGTGCCGGGTCCTGGCTGCTGACCCTGCTCTTTCTCTGGAGTGGGATCTCGCCCTCAGCACTGCTGACATTTTGTGCCAGCTCATTCTCTGTGGTGGGGCTGCCCTGCGTGTGGTTTAGCAACCCCCAGGCCCCACCCCCCGGAGGTCAGTCACACCCCTGTTGTGGCCGTCGGATGGTCTCCAGACATTGTGCAATGTCCCCAGGGGGCAGTGCCCTGGCCGGGGACTAGTGCTCTGCAGAGGCGGGGTGGGTGAGGGGCCTGCGGCCAGCCCGCCCCCCTTTGCAGTCTCTCGCAGCGCGACTCTCAGGCACTCAGGTAGCACCCCGTGCCCAGACCCTGAAGCGGCCGTCCTGTGCTCTGGCTCCAAGTGTGGCCTGGGGCTGGCATCCACCTTCTGAGGGCGATGGCCCCAGCCCGCTGGCCCGGCTGGACAGGCACAGGCCAGCCCCTCGGGCAGTGTCAGGAGCTTCAGGCCCCCTGGACAGCGGGGGAGGAGATGTTCCTGTGTGTCCCACACACTTGACAGCACTTGGTAATGATGCTGCCGTGTCCCCCACCCCCTCACCCAGGTTCAGTGCTCATGAGGAGGGCGGCCACTCCTCACCCCGCTGCCCCCAGGGGCCCAGCCCTCCCCCTCCTTTGAAGTAGGACGCAGTGACACCATCCCTCACAGGACGGCCTTCACGCAGGGCCCCCAGGCCATCTGGAAACACTGGGGGTTCCCACGACCCCCTCAGTTTCTGCGGTTCATTAGAATGATGCTTAGCGCTCGGGAGAGGCCTCAACTTGCCCTCACAGTTGAAGCCTCGCAGAGGCCCCGGGGAGAGACTCAGGGCGGCCAAAGGGGCCCAGACTCAAAGCTTCTGTCGCCTCAGCGGCGTGCGTCTCCCCACATGAGCAGCTGCCACGGAAGCTTGCCCAGGCATCAGTGTTCGTGTTTTCACGGGATTCTGTGGACGGGCTTGGTTGGCGGGAGCTCTGGGCCCCGCTTTCTGAGGTTGACATCATGCGGCCGGGCTTATCATAAACTATCAGGGTGGCAGGAGGGGCCACCCTGGACCAGGCACACCTGTCACCTGGACACCCCAAGGATTTGGAGGTGACCGGTCAGGAGTGGGACAAAGAGCTGCAATTCCGCGTGACACAGGATGTGTGTGTGTGTCCACGCCGCGGGGCGCCGCCGCCCCAGCCCCAGGGAGCGCTGCCAGCCTGGCACCC